GACGAGAGGGGTGGGCAAGTAAAGCTCGCTAGAAATGTATACTACTTAATGAACTAAAATGGCTACTGCTTTTTCATGGATTCATGAAGAAATTTGTCCCCAAATTTATTTTATGAAAAATCAGCAAAAGTTAATAAATAAAATGAAAGGGTGGCCCTATGATATTACTGACCCCGGGGCATGGGCTGGCTCTCGACGCCCCTGCGAGGAAACCGGTCCAAAACGCTACATGGAGTTTATCTCGCGCACCTTGCCTATAAAAAATTATAATTTTTTAAATAGCTATATACTATTTTTGCTATTCAGTTCGGGTATAAAAACTTGATTAAAAACATTTTTCTGGTGTAAAATAAAGGCACTCATGTAAGAACTGGAACAAAGAACACAGATCGATACATTTCTTTTTTTTTTTCGGGATCCCTTTAGAGTTTAGAACAAGGGTCCGGCTCAATGAACCCAATTAATAATCTTGCCATAGCTACAAATACTTAACAACATAAAAACGTTTCTAAAAAACATGGCAATAGTAATAGCGAAAAGTTAGAAAAATACCATCGCCTCCGTACCTGATTAATTGAATTCCTTTTTTTTCTTTTCACAGGCTTTTGAAAATTAAAATGCTTTATTGGGATTCGCAAAGCTCGAAAAGTTTAGTTGTTTTGCAATGAGTCCCAAATTCTGTTTGCTGTAATATATATCTGCATAATGAAACCTATTAAAATTTAAAGGTAAAAACAGAGAAAATGGTATCGACAGATAACTGGTGTCCTACTGACCATTTTCGCAGGAGGGTAAATCGTTAGTTTTAGTTGTGTCTGTGTGTGTCACAAAAGTTATTTTTCAAACCTCCAATCTAAACATCAAACAAACGATATTACTTGCAAGTTGCAATTACTTTATCAATTTAAAATTTGAAGTCAATGACCAAAATCCAGTTATTATTAAACTTGTACGCAATGCGATAAATTGTGGGTTTACATAGAAAGTCTGAACAAAAGTAATTTTATTTAATCATTAATATGAATAAAAACTTGTGTTTTTATATACAAGTTATAACTCATTTGTTCCTCGTATTATAATTTATACGTTTGTGCACACGCACACACTGTATTGCCCAAACATAAAATAGTCAACATTTTATTAACAATAAGGAATAAAATACTCAATCAATAACACGTAAAATAAAACCTATAATACCCATATAATTATTGTTTATAACTATAAAACATTTAAAAATAACTACGTCTCAACAATCACATTAATGGTCTGAAATAATAAGACACTTCGTATGTTACAAACTAGATATTCAGTCATTTTGCTTACCTATGTTGAAGTGCCACTAAACCGAGGTAAATTATATGTGCAACATCAAGATTTGTAGGCCATTCTCCACAGGCTACACATGCGAATAAACCACAAGCCTCCTGTAAACAATCTAGCTCTTCCATTTGAGGGTATTGTCAGGTTCCACTTATGCTATTGTGAAAAAATATTTTAGAAATAAAGAAGCGGTCTATTTACGCACATTTACTGATCTCAAGTATTTCCTTTATATTTAGATATAAATATAAATACAACGCAAGACTGCAAAAATCTTACCGGCGATACCCTCTCACTAAGACCTGAACGTTAGGCGTCGGTACTTCTCCCTCTTTTTCTTACCATTAAAACTCGTGAAAAATAGTATATCATATTCAAGCTGCAAAGCACGTGTTCTGACACTTTTAGAGAATGTAGCAATCCGCAGTATGAAAAAATTCAGAAAGTTTAAACATGTATTGCTAACTACAATATGTTAGATTTTTATCTCAAAAAATTATTTTTAGTTTTTTTAAATTGTAAAAGAAAAATTTCTGCACGTAGCTTGGATTAATTTTTCTTGCGTTAGCTCTTAACATTTGTAGGCGTGGCTTAACGCAAACATAGTTCAAATTCCAGTGTTAATGTCAGAATTGGTGTTGTTGTGCAGAAGTTAGTGTATAATTGTTTTCTTACCATGGGTAAGTTGAACTTCATACTTGCAGAAGTACTTATGTTAAAACATTTTAACTTTTTAATTTCTATTATTTGAAAAAAACCTCTTTTGGGCCAAAATACCTTTTAACAATAAACAGTCAACTTATTATTAACAATAACGAATAAACACAAATTATTGTATTGTATTTGTAAACCGCTTGTCTGCTAAATAATTCAAAATAATGTATTAGTAGGACAATTCTACATATATGCAAGACATATATAAACATAGGTTTATTGTGGTGAGTAAAAGAAAACTCAAAGGGGTCATATTGTTAAACCAAGTGTTAAAGAGTTGAACAGCAATAATGAACCATTACATTTTTAGCATTACTCAAATCAACATTATTTTTCATATTTTGTTTTCACATAAATTTCTGAAGATTATATCAATGTGTTAGTTCTCGAGAACGGAAAATGTGCTTGGATAGCTGTATAATATTAGTAATGAATAAATAAAAAACTGAAGTTGTATTCATTTGGTATTATGAAGAAGGTTCAATATTTGCCTTGTATTTTCTCCTTATAAACATTGTTTTCTGTAACTTTCATTTTATAAAAACCTGTGATATGTTTCATTCTACCAAGTGAATCTATAAATTTTCAAAACCTCTGCTTGGTTGTTACTTGAATACTAAGATTGTAATATGAAATTAAAATTGCATAAATTCCATGACAAAATAACTATATACATTTGTTTAGACAGTGATGACTAAAGAATAGTAAAGGTCATGAGTTTGAAGATTGCTATCACCCATCTGAATCATAAAACTATTATTTTTTTAGTATATTTGATTTGCTTGTATGGTTTTATTTTTTAGCTATCACTTATCATACTGTGTATGAAGTTTAAACATCAATTGACAAACACATTTCCAAACTTGAAACTTTGCTATTTTGATTATTGATTTTGAATTTCAGAGCTAGGAGATTTACTTATTGAAGGAAAAACTAAGAAGGTGTATGCAATCAGTAGTGAACCAGGACTTGTTCTCGTGCAGTCCAAAGATCGTATCACTGCTGGAGATGGTGTTAAAGCTCATAATTTAGAGGGCAAAGCAGTTATATCAACAGCAACAACTTGTAAAATCTTTGAGTTTCTGAACTTAATAGGTGAGTAATTGTTATTTATTCTGAAATAAAATTATCTTTTTAGAATATAATTAATAGGGAAGAATCCTTGACAAGTTTTGATTTTGGGTATAAATTGAGCAATATTAGTTTTTTTTATATTGAAATACTGAGTACATAATTGTGTTTCTTATTTTATAGATAAGTATAATTAATGAGATAGAAATGTATTTAGGAACTTTCAACATATTAGTCAACTATTTTTTTATAATGCTTAGATGCTCATATAATATGCAGTTAACTAGATAGTGTCAAAAAATGGTTATATTTGTGTAACATGATTTATTTTTGAACCTAATAGGTCATTACACAAATGAGGAGATATTAAATCATTCCAGATTCTCATGTGTGAAGCTCTTATCTTCAAAGTTGCCATTACTAATTCTGTTACATGGAAATAAGAAACAGTAACATTTGTTACACTGTATGCTTGTATTGAAAACATGTCTAAGTAATTATTTCTTAAATTATATATATATATATATATATGTGCAAGACACTGAAACATCACAGTGAGTGACTTTTAAAATTATGTTAAATTTGTAAAATTTCTGCATTAATGTTAATCGTTTTCTCATCTTGGGGATTCCAGTTAATCCTAGAATTACTGCTGGACTCCCATCAGATTTAAACAAATTTCAAACTATTTATGCACAAAAGTTTTTATGGGTCCATAACTTTTATGGTTATAGGAACCCTAATATGACAAGAAGCATATCAAAAAATCTAAACAAAACATCATCAAAATTATAATTAATCCCACTAATTACTGTTGAGGTTTCATATGTATTTTAAATAGAAAGTGAGTGACTTAAACAAAATATTTTATCAATTCCTAAGCAAAAACAAAAAAGGTTCTCAATATGTAGACAACACAGTCCACATTAGTAGTTAGTTACGAGAGTAAAGGTGCCTAAGAATCTTGTAATCTGAAGGTGACATTTTTAAACATTGTTTACTCATTTTTTTCATGTAAAGTTACTTTAGTAGCATGGTGAAAAGAAACAAAATGCTGTTTATTATAAAAAATTGAAGCTTTTAGAATATTTTCTAAATAATATTCCTTAAGTTTGAGACATCTTGATGAGTTAGTAACTATAGATTTAAACCCTGTGTTTCGAGTCATACATGTTGTTTGCACATAAAAAATTACAGTATTTCATAAAACTTGAGAAAAGTTTAAACTACATGTAACAGATATCAAACAAGGGAAATGTAATTTAATTTAAGGGAATAAAAATTATCTGAACTGTAAAACCTGTGAAAAGAAATGAAAATAATTTAAATGGTACAATGAAATTTAAAAAAAAATTTCAAACTATGCAAGCCAAGCTTTTTAAACTTTTAAAGCACAATCTAGAATAATACTCTGATATTTCTAAAGCCTTAAGTAAAGAAAGTATAATAATGGGAAAACTGCAGTGAAAGAGTGTGAATTTCTACAGTACTTTGTCTCCTGCATAGTTACTTTTTTTATGCATTATATGCTCAGAAAAGGTAATCAGAATGTGCTATTTCACGTTTAAACTGTAAACCTTTCCAAAGGGATGCACCCAGATCCAACCAGCGGGAGAACTCCTTCCTCTCGTGCGTAATATAAATTTGCACAAATATTGATTATATTTTTGAAAAACACGGTTGTTAACTGTTTAGTTCCTGAAGGAAATAAGATTTGCTTTTGCAAATAAATGTGGTGCGTGATTTCCCCTGTTTCAAAAGCTTATGTATAAAAAAAAGTTGGCCTTGTGTAGAAGGTCGCGTGTTTGATAATATGACCTTCTTTCAAGCACCAAACTTGAACGTAGTCTTGATGTCACCCCCCCCCCCCTTTAAACTTTCTTTATTTACTTAATATCGTTGCAGCCAGAAAAGGGCAAAGTGCATTGAAGACCGCCACTGAATATATAGATAACCCATGATTGAATAGAATGAGTCATCATGAGTTTATTGAATTAATATTTTTTCAAAACGATATAAATTCAGTTCAATTTTCTATTGTGTGAAATTTATATTCCTCTCGAGAGACGGCACTACAATACACATGCATTGAAAAATGTATTTACATGATTCAGAGTAGCTAATGTTTGGAAAATATAACATATATGAACAGAAATGGAATTATATTATCTGTTAAGTTAATATCTTCATTAATTTTAGTTACCGCAGATATTATTATTATTTTATTCGTATTGTTATAATTTAAAATGGCACTTTTTGGTGCAAGGTCGTTAACTTGTAGTCGAAGTAGTTTTGAGTTTGTCATTTTTGTGAGAGTTCGTAGGCAATTAATTACCTTCAGTTTTTTCGTTATAGTTACATGAAATTATTATAATTTTTCACTGTCATATAAAACTTTTTCAAAAAATTTAACGATTGCTCAGGAGTTTTAAATTAATACAAAAAAAAATTATAACGGACCTTTCTAATTTTTTTTTCAAACTTGCACAGTGTATTTATTAATAGAAAAGGTAATATTCAACAACAGACATTTGCTAGGTAATTATAAGTCTTAATTATTCATTGACTGATGCAAGAAAATTTGTTTAAACTAGAAAGTTTAAACTATAATGATTAAAGAGTATTGATGTAAATAAGTAAAGGCGTACATTAATGTTACCGTTAGTGATGTTCGTGTCTCAGTATTCGGAACTGTGCAGAAACTTGGAGATACAACATAACCTCTTTCTTTCGTATTGAGTATTGCTTGGCTTAGGTATCGGATTACCATACGAGTAAGTTACCTACGGCTACAGAGGGACACGCCCGTGAGGTTAACCTTGGTCAAGGAATTGTTCTTATCTAACTTATTTTCTTTGTTACGTAGTTCAAACAACAAATATCTAATATACAAATATGCACGTTGCATTTACTTGGTTAATCGGGAATAAAACATAAATGTTAAGCAAATGAAATTACATGCACCGTTATGTTAATTTTTTTATATTGTGCATGATATAGTACCATTGCTAAAGCATACACTGATTTCATTACGTGTAGTTTCGTGCTGTCTGAATCATATACATATATATATAGAGAGAGAGAGAGAAAGAGAGAGAGAGAGTTACGAAATTGGCTGAATTTCTAACCGGCCCTTCACAAAAATTGTAATTCATCCTTCAGGGATTTTAAGTGGCTCTTATAAATTTAACTGGGCCACTTCAAGAGCATGTATACATATGTTAATTCCGTTTTATCAATTGCAAATATGTATGTCTATATATGTGTTATATTAAACAAAACTAATTTAAAACAACAGTTTTGATTATATCCTTCGTGGAATGTACATAATCATTATATTAACTTTGATAAATGTACACGCGCGCGCAAAAAACAAAACAAAAACAAATGAATAACGTGACTTGAGATTGTTTTAATACTGACCAAAAGGTAGTGTATATGGCCATTAAGATGTTAAAGTTAGTTACACCTCGTTTGGATCAATCCCGCTATTCACTTGTTCTATGAACCTTCTTTTCGTTTCAGACGTCGTTGGGATTTCCCATAATGTATAAAAATAGTCCAGGAATCTGTAAAAGCTAGAGGCACCAATTGGGAGATTGAAGTGAAGAATATACTTTCACAAGACGAAAACACAACTATTGTTTTATGAAAAAAAAGTGTAGAAATGCAAGTTTGGTAACAATGTAAAATAGGAAAAATGTTTGAAAATTTGATCGGCCAAACAGATTTTTGCTATTATAGTTGGCCCTCTGGCCTAATAAACGACACGAATTTCGGACCCAGATGAATATCAATAGAATATACACATATACTTAATGTGAGCGTCCCTTGTAGGCTTAACCCATTGCTTACTTAATTAGAATTAATTTTTTTTTTTTTTTTTTGTTCTAGGGACAACTGAAAAGGGTTATCGAGTTCTTACACGAAAAGTTTGTTGTTTTTTTTGGCATGCCTTTCCGGCTTACGATTTTATAAGATGTACTATTTCCTATAGATCATCTTCCAGACGATTCTGGGGCTTCAGCAGATATTTCTTTTGCAACACCTCAACCAACAATTGGTTCAGTTATCAACGCTATTTTCAAGTTTTGAACAACTCGACTTTCAAGATTTACGTATCTACATGTGCTGATGTTTCCATTTATCAACGTTATGTTTTAAGATCTGTGCAAGATGTTTCCGTATATAAACGCTATCTTCAAGTTTTGTACAACAAAAAACCATTGCAAATCATATTATGATATGCATATAAATATATTGCTAGCAGCTAGAGTTACGTATGTTTGGGGTATTCGATTACTGAGCATGGAAGGAGCTCATGACAGATGTTATGTCACAGTGTAATACGAAGGTCAGAATGTTTCTTTTAACATCTGGACATGAGATTTGTCTCTAATTGGTTCGTTAAGTATACGTCATTGGCCAACAACCTGCTAGAAGCGAATAACATTTCGAAGCTGGACGTTGACTTGGGAAGTTTGTTTTTTCCTTGTTATTGAAAACACCTTATGTAATCGTTGTTTAAGTAATATTACATCAAGGGAAACTTCTTTTTTTAAAATATTATACAGATTATAACATACTGAGGTAGTTTCGTTTTAAGTTCTTTATTACACCATTTTAGCACATTACCAAAGATTTGCTATCAAAGACCATGCTGTAATAGTGTTATAACTTGTAAACTACGTTACAAAAGCGCTGGCATATTTTCTGATCTCAGTATTGTGATTCTTCTATTATTTGAGTAGATTATATAATCTGTTTGATGAAAAACGAATAAAATGCGATTAATATGCATGCAATATCCGCTTTTGAAAGCTGTATCATTTTTTAATAATAAAATGTTTATTTTTGGTAACTCGCAATTGTCTAACAAAAAACAGCATACGCCCATACATAAGCATATTCATATATATATGCACCAAGTAAAAAGATTACCAGGGCACAGGTTATAATATGTGATATAAAATGTGTCCTGGGTTTTGGAGGTGGCTGCGGAAGTAGGACCCACATTACGGTGAGAATAGTCTGTCAGTTTTTATATAGGTGTCTGTGATTTGTTGGCGATATATTTCAACAATATAGTACATCACACAATCCATTTGTTTTAAAATAATATATATTCAAAACAAGTCAAACGTCTTTACCTTTACAGAAATTCGTTACACTATTGTTTACCACAGTTGAATCTAGGGCTTTAAGTACTTCTCTTTTTTGTCTTATATATATATATAAATTGCTTTCTTTAATTTATAGGGATTAAAACTCACTTTGTAAGACTTCATGATGAGAAAGCTTTCATTGCTAGACGTTGTGAAATGATTCCGATAGAATGGGTGACAAGAAGAATTGCAACTGGATCGTTTTTAAAGAGGAATGTTGGGGTTCCAGAGGGATATCGTTTCTCTCCTCCAAAACTTGAGACATTCTATAAGGTGAGGAGTATATTTTAGTACATTTGAAATGAGGATAGTCTAATATAATTAATGAAATTAAAAAAACTTGGTGTAGAATTTTACTTTGTATTTTGGCCTCACAAATATAATTTTACATTTTATAACAGCGGAATAAGTAATTTCAGCACTAAATTTCTCTTGACTTAAAGGAAATCAAAATTGGCGGCCAAACTGGTAGCTTCACTTATAGCATTGATAAGAATTTTACAGCAAATATTCATTTATTAGCCACGCCGTCGTTTTTTTTTTTTTTTTTCTTCTCTCTCTCTTCTTGTTCTTCTACTGATATGAAGAGCTGGGTGTTGAATGCGGGAAACAGAAAACACATCTACCGCCACCAATTTGGCCGCTACCTCTTCCTAAAAAGTCACCCTGACCATTGCACAGTGTATACCATGTTTTAAGTAGATACATATTAAGTTCTCAAAGCTTATACAAAACTTTTGGTGAGGTAATAATGAATAATATATTATGTTATAAATTAATTGTAAGTTAGGATTTTTCTATTATTTGTCATAGGATTCACCCTCATATTTTTTAAGTTCATAATTCACCCAAAGGGCGGGTACCTAAGCTTGTCAATAACTAGTTTTTAGATTCGGTTGGTGATCTGCTTTCGCCTTCAGAGAAGTTCCGTGAGAGACTATTTCTGTATTGGTAGTAGAGCTGGGCAAATGACTCGTTTAAACCTATGAGCATTGGTAATATCAGTTAGCATCACATATAATAATCGATCTAATCAAAATTACGATTAAATCAATTAGTTGTTCGAAAATTATCAACTACTTGCAATTAGTGTTTCCTGTTTTTACTATTTTCAATTATTCCAACTAACCAAGTTATCCTAATATTTGCTTTTACTACTTCTGTTGGCGCAACTAAGCACAATAATATGCGTGCATTCTGCTTATATACAACTCAAGAATGTAAGGGTGTGACCTAGTGGCTGTTGGTTACATAGTGATGCTTGTTAATGATACTCAGTGTAAAAGTGCTTTAATTATGGCAAGTTAATATTCATCATTCTTCGTTGCTCAAGAAAATATTAGTTGCAGAATGTTTTTCATTTATCTGTGTTTGTCAGAAAGTACTAGACATGGATACTAAGGTACCATGAGACTATGAATGCTATGTCAGGATCTTTTTATTATCAACGTTTCGACTACAAGTCTTCTTCAGGAGATTATGACACTGCTTCAATCAATCAAACAATCAGTCAAAATCGTGGCAGGAATTTTGGTATAAAAAAAATTCACCAGGGGTGCTCAGAAGCTTCTGCTTCTCTTAGCCCCACTCGTGACGGTGGTGTGGTCTGTGTGTTGAGCTTGACTGAAGATGTTATGTTAACATGAAATGTTTGAGAGTGTCTGAACAAGCAGTCGGGGGAGCCATGAAGAGCTAAGACAAAGACAAAAAAAGAGGGAGAGATCGAGACTTGGCGAATTCAAACGGCTCCTATGGGACAGAGTATGCAAGTGCAACCTGACCAGACTTTCTGCTTATGGATGACAATGCGCGTCCACACCTTGCAAGGGCAGGGACTGCCTTCCTGGAAGCTGAAGGAATTCCCAGGATAGAGTGGCCAGATAGGTCTCCTTACCTTAGCACAATAAAGCACATCTGGGAGCAGCTACAGACAAGGCTACAAGCTAGTCAAGCTCCACCAACCGCAGACGTTGTGCAGCAGTCATTAATGTTCGAGGTAGTCACACTGACTACTGAAATAATCTTGTTTGTAAATTGGACACTTCTTTCAATGACTGTTGTTTTTGAAAACATTTTGTTAACACTGTACCACAGGGCGCATCAGTTCCTCAGGCTCTGTTATCCAAGTTAAATGTTACATAATTTAATAAAGTGTAAAAATGACTTATCCAGGTGTTTTTCTTCCTAATATGTTCAATTTATACATACCATTGTAGTAGGTGTTTGACATATACTCAAAATAAAACATGATCCTTAGCAAATGTTGACTACTGAATTTATTGATAGCGTTAAAGTGTTGGCTGTAAAAAGTAGAGTGATTAGGTGTGGTGAACGTGTCAGTGTGGAAGTGTGCGAATAGTTGGCTTTTTGCTCGTCAGTGTGTGCTGTGTGATTATTTTAAGTTATGTTAGAGTTAATAGTGTTTGTAGTATTGTTGCAGATCTTCTTAAGTTTACGACAGAAAAGTGCGGGGTTGGGTTTTGATTCGTCAATGGATTGGCAGAATAGGTTCCAGTTATGTTGTTGCTGGATTTTGATTAGCCTTTTAATTTGATTATTCGTGTTTTCACTGAATTATATATTATTTACAATACACTGTGACAAGAATCTTTACCAGCTATGTATAAAGTCTAAGGACAAATAATTTTAATGAAGAATTAGTTTATTTAGTCTTTCAGCTAATCTTGTAAAAATTTGTAGGGAGAAACCAACGGTATCGTATTAATCTTATTTTCAGGCTGTTGCAGGTCTTGTATTGTTATGACTTATGAATATACCGCGCGTTTATATCTTTTTGTGATATCATAATAACTACTCTGAATTCATACGTCACGGGACTGGGCGAAGTGCCTTTACACTTCGACTTCAAAGTTCCGACTTTCGCTTTTTTGCCCCCCCCCCCCACAGTGACCTTTATTTTCAACTCGGTCAGTCACCCGCCTTGCCGAAGGGCGACAAACAGTATCATCACGCTTGATTTCCAAACTCTTGACATAAGCCAATCAAATCGCCGAGATACTACACGCTTATCCATATTCTTTCAGCTCAGCATACATAATATGGGCATAAGCCAATCAGCACGCTCGATCCAATTTCCCCACCTAGAATATGACATTATCGATTGCACGTATCGGTTATTATTGAAAGTTTCAGGAGAAAATGTTTTTACTGTATTGTATTGATGGACATATTTTGGTTAATCATTATTGGTTGATTACGGAAGGGTGCTAATGGTAACTGGGAAAAGTGTCATGTGTGTCTGTTGGCACATGGAGTGCTGTATTTTTTTTTAGTGGATTGTTCGTAACCCATTCAAATATTGGGAGGTAATCGTGAATTATGCAAGTTATATATCATAAAGCGGCATCATTTTAAATTGCTGATACTCATTGATTTACATGTGTAATCGCAATTTGAGCATGCAATTAAATCAAACTTGTTCATTGCTGCCCATAATAGTATTCTTCATTTGTTCAGAATGTTTCTAGCAAATCTGTTAAGTGTAAAATTTTTGGAAGTATACACACACTATGTTTGTGTCTGTTGTTGTAATATTTTTTTTTGTTCTGTCCAGTCACATTATTCCATTTAACATCACAACTTGGGCTGTAAGAGATTTGACATTATTTCATGATCAATAGCTTTAAGGTTAACTCTCTTTTACCTTAATATCCACTCTTTGTTGTGTATATGATACACTTTCATATACAACAATTTGGTATTAAAAAAGTAACTTAATCCTAAGTTGTCATACTTGAATATGTATATCATACTAAATGAAGAGAAGTTTGAAAATGTCTTTTAAAAAAAATCCAAAACAAGCTGAAAATAAGAGGAATAACTGAAAGTAATCAATTAATGAGCCAGACTATTAATTAATTAGAAAATTCTACCATATTTGCCTAGTTTTAGTTAATAGTGGCAGAGATTTAATCCTGGGTCTTCTTGATAAAGTGGCTGATGTGCTAACCACCCATCTGGGGTCTCCCTTATTATAACTTAAATCAACTAACTTATTATAATGCTTTCAAGATGAGTATCCAGATTTTACTTCTATGCAATGTGTAGGTTGTGAGTGTGTTATCATTTAAGTTGATCTTGAAGCTTCTTTCATCCTCTTCTTGTAAGTGGTTCATATCTTATTATTTTTATATTTATTATTATTACCTTTTTTCTGGCATGATGAGCTGTCACAGTTAGATTGGTATAACAGAATCTTGTACATCTATTATGTACCTGAATTCTAACATTTCTTCCTCTGTCTCCAATGTATTGGAGTTCACATTCCCAAAGGATGTTATAACTGGTGTTGTTTTTTATGCTCTCCAATGGGTCCTCACTTGGTGTGTATTAACTTGTTAGTACCTCTGAATATTGTTACGACTTCATTCTATTCAGATGCAGAAACAGGATTTTTTGGAAAGGAGGGGAAGGGTCACTCTTGAAACAGAATATAAGCTTAATGATAAATTGAATAATAATTGCTTATTTTTGAACTTTACAAACTAAGAAACATCTATATATGTCAATTTTCCTTCATGTTTTGTTCAGGAAAACAGGGACCATGATTACCTGTATTCACCTTTGCTGTTCACTTAACTTCTATTAGCATGAGTAGACAAAAAATCTATAAAGTACTGCTTTAGGAATAAAAAAAAATGAGTAGCAAAGCCATACTCTCTCTCAAAAAATGTGTTTATTTACTGAAAATTATGCAACTTGACTGTTTTTACATCTTTTAAATATGTTACATGTGATGTAATTTAAAATGTGTGTCAAACCTGTCACCTATGCTCTGTATGTCTTTAGAAAGATCTCTGGCATAGAGAAGTATGACAATGTGTTAGTATTTTCTTACTTCTTAATCTTGGTATTAATATTCATTTTCTTCTTTATCATATGTTCAGGTTATCCAATAATAAGAGTTGTAGTAATGTGTTTTTCTTCCTTTTTTGGAATATTTAATATTATGAAACTTGTTCATTCTGCAAACTGAGAAGTCTTTGATGCCTATCTTTACTCAGAATTGGATTGATTTGTAGTCAAGATAGTTACCCAAATCTTTGGTTTCCTCTAAACACCTGTGACATAAGAGATATGTCTTGGTAATTATCATGTCCAGGAATGGGGATTTATCTTCTATTTACCAACAAAATTTTAAAATCTATATTAAGTGTTAGTTTTATGTTTGATGCATTGATATACTTAATTTTCTAGGATGATGCAAACCATGACCCTCAATGGTCTTTCGAGCAAATTGTGTGTGCCAATTTTAAGTTCGGAGGTGTGACCATTGGTCAGGATGAAGTTGATATTATGCTTAAGATGACCCAGTGTATTTTCGAAGTTTTAGAAAAAGCATGGGCATCACTTGACTGTAGTCTCATAGATATGAAAATTGAATTTGGAGTTGATTCTACAACTGGTGAGTCATACATTTCTTTATCATAGTTACAGTAGGCAAGTTAGTAATGTATGATTACTGTTGTGTTAGTTTTTAAATTTTTGGAACTGGTGATAAAGTTCAGTCTTCTATCTTTCTTGTTTTAAGTTATTCATATTGGCTGAAATATTTGATGTTTCTTTTACCTTTTACAGCACAGGATTTATGTACATCACTTATATCACTGTAGATGTAAATTTATTTTTTTCAAATTGTAACTTTTGTTGTTTGTGTCTTGTCAGGGGAAATTCTACTCTCTGATGTTATTGACAGTGACTCATGGCGCCTGTGGCCTTCTGGTGATAAACGTTTAATGGTTGACAAACAAGTTTATCGTAATTTGAAAGAAGTCACTCAACAAGACTTAGATGTTGTAAAAAGAAATTTTAGCTGGGTGGCATCTCAGCTAGATGTAAGTATAGAATTTAAATATCAAATCTCTTTTCTTGTTAATTGAAGACTTAAAATAACCACCAGTTTTGTGGATAATATGAGATCACTCATTGTAGCCTTGTGGATAGATTGTAAGGAATAATAAAAGCTGTTGTAAACACAGGTTTGCAGAGCATGAACTCAAAATTAGATTAAAGTTCACAATTTAGGCCTCTCTCTGAATAGAAAATTGGTGAAACTAATCTTGTGCATTACCTTCTCCAATACACATATAATAATAATAATATTCTCAAATATTTTAATGCTAGATATTCTTAACATTTCAAAATAAATGAAAAAAGTAGGACCATTAATGTGACCAAAGTGAATTTAAAATAGTTCAGTTTTTGAGTGTCAGATGTATTTGATTCTTTAAATTACTCATGGAATTAATGAAATCATTATTTTCACTGATATTTAACTTTATGGACATACTCACACACATAAAATATTAAGTAATTCATCTTCTCTTTCTTTAGTGTTTAAATAATATTTATAACTTGTATACTCTGATAACTCCTTCCTACTCCAGAAATTGGTCCCCAAGCCTCGATCACAGGTAGCAGTTCTTATGGGTTCAGCAAGTGACCAAGAACATTGTAAGAAAATTGCTCAATCTTGTGAAAAATTGGGAGTACCCTGTGAATTGCGAGTGACATCTGCTCATAAAGGAACTGACGAAACAATGAAAATTGTTGCTGAATATGAAGGTTATTCTCCATACATTTATATATCAGATATTGTTTTAATAAGTGATTTAAAATATTTACATTGAAATAAAACTAAAATGTCATTCACTTCAAAATGAACTTGATATAAAATCATAGAAAATACTGTGTTCAGATTTTAAATGAATTATTGATCAAGTACTATTTAAAAATGAGAAATGGTTAAATTTTTTCACTGTCTGTAAACTTGAAATACTGGTATCTCTGTCGATATATTACTCATGATTAAAGTGTGGATTTTATCTCAGCACTGAATCATAATACCATTTAGAAGGATGTAATGAGTACAAGTACCTTCTCATTATTCTGTGGTTAAAGTGTGGGTTTTATCTCAGAACTGGATCATATCTTTTACAAGGATGTAATGGGTATTGGTGTGATATATTAATATACCATGTGTTTCTGTCTTGTAGTATTTATTCTTTGTTTTGAGTACGTGTAGATTTTACATAATACGTGATCAAGAAAACTATTAATTTGATCTTGTTTCAAGTTACCTTTGTTGTACTTGAAGTAGTTGGTACCTGTTGAGAACATATGACATTGTGTAAGAATTTTGACAGCATTGCCCTTCAGTGGTTGTTCAGGTAATATCTAGAGGTTAAGCCTCACCTGTGTTGTAAAGAGCATGACCAATCACGTAGGCAGTCCATGTTGCTCTCAATAAATGTGATGTTTCTTGGAAACTAAGGAACCTGACATTTAGTTAGTCAGAAATTTTTCAACCAGTCAGCCTAGAAAATGGTCAAGACCAAATCAATCCGAGAAAAGTCACCTAGAGTAATCATCCAGAATAGATGCTCTACAAGTAAAGTGTTTGTGTTTAATGTATTAATAAAGGTTGTTTGTTTTGTATGACTTTTGTTATCCATTGACTCAATTAAATAAAAGTTCTTAGTCATATTTCAGGATTGATATCTTGAACAATTCGATTTAGCAGACCTTTCCAATAGCTTGGACATTTATTCAGTTCACCTGACTATATCACACTGGTATCTCTTTAGTTGTATTACTCAAGAAAAATATGTGGGTTTTATCTCCAAACTGGATCATAATATTGCCTGAAGTGATAATTGTTTCAAAACAATGTAAAATAGGTGCTTGGAAATTTTCCTTTTTGAAGTTTTCTTTCTTAACATTCTTAAGAAGTTAAAAAATGTATTGGCTGCAAATCAAACTTTAAACAAAAATAGTACATTATTTTTAAAGTATGATTTTTCATAATTCTTAAAAATTGTAGGTCAGATTGATATCAGAGTTGTTTGTAAGGCAATGTATTCTATATATTTTGAATGATTTTTCTTAATATATCTTGAAAATAATAATACAGCTCCTTCTCTATCTATACATACACTTGTTCTTTTTAAACCAATTTTTCTCAGTAGATTGTATATCTTCACCATCTTTCAATTGCTTCTCAAGTTTAAGTATTTTACTCAGTGTTACATTGTATCAGTATATATGACATTGACAAACGTGTATAGATTTATTAATATTTTGGAGCTTTTAAATAATAGTCCATATCTTTTGTATCACATAGGACAAGGAATTCCAACTGTATTCATCGCTGTTGCAGGACGTAGCAATGGTTTGGGACCAGTAACTTCAGGAAATTCAACATTCCCAGTTATTAACTGTCCTCCTGTTAAACCTGATTGGGGCTCTGAAGATATATGGTCATCCTTGCGTTTACCATCAGGTAATGACTTGACCATTATTATTATTATTAATGCTTATTAATTATCCTTCTGCCTTTGTTTGGCTCTGAAGATAGCTGGTCATTGCTATGTTTCACATCAGGTAATGACTAATGTTTGTTATCAACTTTTCTGTCCTGTCTTGGATCTGAAGATATCTGGTTATCACTGCAGTTATCATTAGTTAATGATTTGAACATGATGGCCATAGTAACCGAAACAATTAGTAACAAAACCTGAAAAGAAAAAGGGATAGAAAAGAAAGTGGCTATTGTAGGTACAAGTTATTGTTCATTGTTAAAATTTATTTAGTGGAGAATAAGTGACGCTGTTTTTGTACACTCATTGTTATACAAGTAAATTTTAAGCTATCAACTTGTTTCAGTATTCATGTTTTCTATATTGAACTTGTTTAAATTGTAGTATTAAAATGAAACAGTTCACATAAGGTAAACATTTCATTTCATAATAAGGTTCATTGAGTGTACATTTGTAACAGTTTGAAACATGTTAATACTAATAAAACTGAGAATGATTGCTTTAAATTTTCACAGTGATCATTAGGAAGCATGAACAGGTCTGTCATAAACTGTTCAGTCTTTACAGTTGTAGATTTGTTGGGCTTTAACATCAAAAACTGTTTATGTACGATTAATAAATAAGCAAGAAAGACTCAAAGTAAATATTATCATCAGGACTTCCCTAATAATGAAACTATTTAACTGGTGAATGTAGATAGTTGGAAATTTCTTTAGAAAAATCAGTATAATTTTAGAACATCAGCAGAATAACTCCCTGTTATTGAGTATAACACAATACCTGTAAATAAGTTACAATAATAAAGATTATAGAATATTCTCATTCAGTTTTTTATATCTTGCTTGAATATCTACACCAATCTTTCCACTAAGCCATTTGCTTAAGTGATTTATTTCATTAATGCAGAAACATAGTTGTAGGCAACATATCAGTAGCCATTTTCATTTTCCTGATAGTAACACACAGATGTTATAGTTACTAAAAATACACATCAATTCACTTAAACTAGGCAAATATTATCATAACTAACATTGGATTAATTGATGTGTATTTGCTTTCATGACTATTTTGTATATTCCTTTGGGTGTTGCTGGTAAAAACTTTGCATTACCTTGGCATGTGGTGCATTTTGTAATTATATTCTCAGTGTCTTGATCAAACTTTGGCCATCAAATATAGCTACATGAAAAGATTTTCATTGTAACTATCCCTGAATGTGACTGATAAAACATTTCAAGGATTTGAGATCTGACAAATGGAGGTACTGCCAGTCTGCTACTTTACAATATGACCCCATCAGGAAATATTTAACTCTGTTCTTCATATATGCTTCAAGATAACTTGTATTAGGCCATCCATTGAAATAAACTGATAAACACATTACAGTACTGATTTGTGGTCTGTTCATAGCTTTATTTTATCTGCTGTGGTAGGAAAAGCATTCAGAAATATATAAGCAATACTTAAAGTTTTTTTGGTGTACAAAACTTGAAGATAGCTTTTATATGCGGAAACATCTGTTGGCTCAGTTCTTGCACAGATCTTAAAATATAACGTTGATAAATGGAAACATCGGCACATGTAGATCTTGAAAGTTGAGTTGTTCAAAACTTGAAAATAACATTGATAACTGGACCAATTGTTGGTTGAGATGTTTGCAACATCTCAACCAACAATTGGTCCGGTTATCAATGCTATTTTCAAGTTTTGAACAACTCGACTTTCAAAATCGACATATGCTGATGTTTCTGTTTGTCAACGTTATATTTTAAGATCTGTGCAAGAACTTGGCTAACAGATGTTTCCACATATAAAAGCTATCTACAAGCAATACTGTGTGTCGAGGTACAGCAACTGTTTTGCTTTCCTCTACTGGCACACGATTCCTAGCCTCTGAATGACCCATATCATTTGTTTATTTATACACAAATGAGAAGTTATCTCTATTTTTTGAATGAAACCACTGTTGGTACACTCTTTGTCTTGTTCAGAAAGTTTGCATTGTTTTTTATCATTTCAAATATCAAAATATTTACCAAAAGGGTAAAATGAAACTTCTTGACTCAAACTACTCAAAGGCCCATCTTTTCAAATTGAGAGTATGGAACTTTTTACTCTAAAACTACTGCAAGGTCCTCCTTGTCAAGTTGAGAATACATCTTTTCAGCTGGGGTTAGTCTTTGTGAAAGAACATTGCACCAATATCAGGATACATCACAAGCAAGAATGATACCTTTATTTTTATCTTAGTGCACAAGTACCTGAAGTAAAATTCAACTGCTTTGATGTATTAAAAGTTTGCCTTGATCCCCAGTACTATCTTTTTGTGTTTTTTTTTTAAAGAATGTAAAGGGGTGCCAAAAAAATTGAAATGTTTATGTTAATTCAAGAGCCTGACTTATCAGTCACTTCATAAGAAATGGGGGTTTCCATTATGGAACTGATCATGTCAGTTACTGTATGTAAACCTATATCAGTCCAATAACACTTATCTGTTTCATTAGACTACAAACACTGTTATCTTCTCTGTCCCAAAACCAGCTACAAATGACCTTTTGAGAACTGCCTGTATTTGTTTTAAATGTTCTTCTGTTTCCTTAGTAAGTAGAATATCACTTAGGTTGAATTCTTTAAAAAAACTATCCATACCCCTATAATAAAATTGTTGCTGATGAGGAAATTCCAAGTTGAATGCAATTCTACTGGAAAATATCACTACAATTATTAATGATACTGAAGTCTTTATATTTCTTATCCAATGGCAACTGAAGATAAACATGACTGAGATCAATCTTTGTAACTGTTCTCCTTCTATAAAACTTGTATATACAGTAATCCCTCAATAACTCGGAAATGTGGAGCTAAAGCCATGCCGAGTTATCAAAAATTCAGAGTTATTGAGGTAATTTCCTCCCACCCCAAATCACAACTTTTTTTGGCCCAAATGAATTAATACTGTTGTTTGAAAATAAATTAAATAAAAACATTAAAAATTAACACTTAACAGCACTGCGGGCCAAGAAAGATGATGATTCAAGCTTATGGTGCCATGTGGTAGGTGACAGAAGTGATTGTAGGAGGGCTTAACACACTTTGGTAAATACTGTACACTACTTTATTAACTTAGAAATTAAAGTTTAATTTATTTTATTTAATTAAATAAATTATTCACTGTCTGTCATGGGGGTTCTGAGGTAATGCGAAGGAATCTAGCACTGCTGGAATTGGTGTCCGAGGAAGAGTATCCAGATGCTGCAGTCAGACTTATGGAGGCTTCACTAAAGGTGGAAAGATTTCATCTGGGTTTAAAAAAAGTCATATTTTCCCCCGTTTGCAAATATCAGGGTTTACTAAATTCCAATGAGAGAATTGGGGTTTTAAAGAGCATAGTTGCAGACCATGTTTGAATATGAAAATTGTTATCATGGTTAGTGACCCACATTCTTTAATAAAGTTGATAATTATCATGAATCATCACCCATTTAACACAAGTACACCATATTTTGGTACAAAACGTAATTGAACAAGTTAAACAGCAAATTTTTTGTGAACCAATGTTATTATCAGTTGTGGTACGATTTCAGACCATTATTAAATTCAAAATTCTTGACGGTTTAATGACCAAGAATGTTTGTTCCAGATATAAATAATCTTGTATTATGACAATCTCGTTATTTTATGTAAATATTTGATAAAAGCTCTAATGGAATTTATTATGAACACCATGTCTTGGCTGTTCTACTGTTTTATGTTAATAGTTGATAGTCACTGAGAAAATGTATTGTAAAAACACTTTTTGACTTTACATCTTTTGGCTGTTCCACTGTTTTATGTCAATAGTTAATAAAATCTCCGATGGAATTTGTTATAAAGACATTGTTTGGTTTTACAGGTCTTGGCTGTTCCACTGTGATGAGCACAGAAGCTGCAGCTCTATGTGCTGCACAGATCTTGGCTTTGAGTGACCATGTGATCTGGGCTCGGTTGAGAGGTCATCAGTTAAGTACATGGATTGGGTTGAAACTTGCCGATAAGAAGCTACGAAATTCTCATTTGAGTTGAGATGGTTGCCATTTTTTTTATCTTAATTTCTTTTCCAAGTGTAATCACATTATGTCATTTTGTAGTATGCATGTTATAGATTGAAGAATTATCACAGTAATACAGAAATTAATGTTTTGATATAATTATTATTGTACTGGAACCAATTATTCAAATATAAAAATGTTTATTGGCATTTAGTAAAATGCATGTTCCAAATAAACTGATATTTTCTTACCCAACAGTTAGCATAAGAACTATTTCTAGCTGTTCAGATATTATAAACAAAGAAGTTAAATGTTAGAAACCCAAAACCTTATGATAACTGGAATAATGTTAATGTTCAAATGAATATTTTATAGGTTCGTGCACAAATGATATACATGAGCACACACACACAAACAAAAACTTTTTTTTGTAATTACAAGTATGCTATTAATTATTCAAGAAAAAAATATATTTCACCATTTTATATCCATGGTTAATAATTCTTAGTTACAATAATCTCATTAAAATGAGAATTTCATTTCTATGGGAGAGTAAATTCATTCACAAATGAATTTTGTGTAATTTGTCTGCTTTCACCATTACTTGTAACCTGATAATTCCATGGTAATGTTTGGATTTGATCCTTTGGAAGAGTTAATATCCTTTCACAGATTTATTACAAAAAAGAAAATGGACGTAAAACTAATAGTGTGACTGTGGATTACCTTGTATGTTTGGCCAAATAGAACTCGTACACAGTCATGTACAACCTTGACACTACTGTTACTTAACATTGTTTAGTGAATCATTTTTGTTGATTAGTACATTGAGTCAAACAGAATCTATAAATAACAATGTGAGTAGAGTATCCTAAATTCAGTCGTATACAACTTGGACACCACCATTAGCTCCAACTGTTTGGTGCATTATCTTTCTTATTAGTATTCACCAAACCAGAACCTAGAAATGACACTGTGGTTGAGTTTAGAGCTTTACATTTAGCCATATAAGACCTACACTCTCCTGTAAATTTAAATTGTTTGGTGCATCATTTTAATAATTAGTTCATTTACTTACTCCATTTCACACCTTAACAGTCATTGTTCAAGAAAATGGATATAAACAGCATGTATAAATAGATGGTATTCATATACCACCAGTATGTCTGTCATATCTCGGCGCCAGCTTAATTAGACCTAGTATTGGATGAAAGGCTTTGTCAGTACAGAATATGGTAGGTGTAGTGGAGTTGACATTTAACATAATCTTTGATTTTTTACTTCTAAGTTTGTAGAATTACTAATGTATTTTTCTCCCATTGATGCTGTGACTGCATGGCCCACTCTGGGAACAAGAAAGCAAATTTGCTGGTTTGCCACTTCTGAATGACACTGAGATTATTTCAAAAAAATAATAATAATTGGTGTTAATAGGCAATATTGTATTATTAAATCTTACCCTTAAAAAAAGTCGTTTGTAAACATCTTTTTAAAAAAAATTGATTAAATTTACAAATCACCCATTTAACCTAGTTCACACCATAAACAATTATTTTTAAAAACTGATGATATAAATACTATGTCTGGTGAACCCTCCTGTTGTGGGTAGCAAATATGGTAGATTTGTATGGAGATATTATAACACATTCTTCTTTGCTTTTACTAAGTTCTTAGAATTACAACATAGCTTTCTCCCCTGATACCATGGTTGCTTGACGTGCTCTAGGAACAAAAAGACTAACTTTCTGGTTCTCCAATTTTTCTGGTATAATAAGTAGAAAAAAAAGTATAATAATAATATCAGTGCTAAAATATAAAAAATAAATAACCTGTGTTATTAACCCTTACTCTTAATATGTGGTTTGTAAATGACTTGAAAACTGATAATCACAATTCACCTACTTAATCTAGTTAAAATATTATTCAATGTTGATTAAACTTAATTTTATAAAAAAAAAAATAGCCCAGACCACTAATATGTCTGTTCTATCCCAGCCATTCAGCTGATAACTCTAATAAAAAGCCTTGTCTGCACTAAATATGACAGATACAGTGTAAATGACATATAAAATAATCTTCTTTGCTTTTACTAAAGTTCTTAGAATTACTAATGCAGTTTTCTCCCATTCACACACTCCTGTAACAAGAAGTGCTCATTTGTCAGATCTTCTGAATGACAGTGAAAACAGTAATAATAATAATAATTGTTTTAAATTGATAAATATGTAATATGGTGTTACTAATCTCTTACTCTAAATGTTATTTGTAAATTACTTAATATGGTTCACACCTTAACAGTTGTTGTTCATGAAGACTGAAGATATAAATAACACCCAGTCCACTACTTTACAACCTTACAAGCCATTATTTGGCAAAAGCTCTTGTTAGTACTCATTAAGACAAAGAAAACCTAGACACTACACTGTCAATGATTTAGTGCTCCATTTTCAGGTACATACAACCTAGAACCTACCATAAGTTTACATTGTTTGAAGCACCATCTTTTCCTTTAATACATTCAGTGAAAGAGAACACAACGGGCAGAATGGAGTGATCTACATTTAATTATATATAACATAGACACTACACAAGTTTAGATTGTTTGTTGTATCATCTAAATGTTAGCACATTCAACCAAACAGACCCTAGAGATGACACTGTGGGTTGAGTGTAATACTCTAAAATCTGTCATATACAACCTACACAATACTGTAAATTTAGATTGTTTGCTACATCATTTTTCATGTTTGTATGTAAACCAAATGAAACCTAGAGCTATTGTGGATAAGTTTAGTGCTCTATGTTCAGTCATATACAACAGATACTACTATTAGTCTGGAGTGCTTGGTGTATCATATTTCCTGTGTAGGGAATGGAGTGATCTACTTTCAGACATATACAACCTTGATCCAATTGGAAGTGTAGATTGTTTGGTGCACCATCTTATCTAATGACTTTCAGCCAAACAAAACATAGATGACACCATGAGCTGAGTAGGGTGCTCAACATTCAGTTGTATACAACTTAAGACACCACTTTTAATTTGCATTGTTTGATGCATTATCTTTTCTACTAATACATTCAGCCAAACAGAACCTAGAAGTAACATTACTGTTGAGTTTAGAGCTGTACTTTCAGCCATACACACACTGACACTACTGTAATTTAAATTGTTTGGTGATTCACCATAACAACTACAATTCCACTAGTTAATCTAGTTCACACAATAACAGTTCTTGTTCAAATACTGATTATATAAATAGTGCCTAGTCCATGGAACTGGGAACAACTAAAGGAGACCATGCAGGCAATGGAACAACAAAGAACACATACTGAACATAGAAGTCTATCTGGAGCAGACTGGGAATAAAGTTGAGAAATGGCAAGAAAGAAGAATGACCCTCACAAGCCACCAAAGGTTTGACAAGGAAGAACCACACGAGAAAGAGGTAAATGAATCTCAAAGGAATGTAAATGGAATCAGCTGGTCCAATTTTAAGTGTTAAAATCCACTACCAGGATCTGAGGTTGATGTACCAGTGACCAAAATAAGAGGTAACGTGGTGTTGGAATAAAGTGGCAAAAGCATCCAGATGATTAGTACCCCATTGATTGCATAGCTACCTGAAAACCTGAGGATTGAGAAACCACTCCGTGGGATGAACCTGGTTGGGTCTTGGAAAATTATCTGCCACAAGAACCCAGAACATGACACACCAGGAGATTTATCTGCAGCTTACGGGCCCAATAAAAGAGGTCCAGTGTTAAACCACAACGGGAGCACGAACAAGTGCCCCATTAGTGATTGAAATAGGCAACAATGGTGGAATTGTTGAAATGGAACATGATGTGTTGGTACTGTACCAGTGGATGAAAATTAACCAAAGCATATCATACTACCATAAGCTCCAATATGTTGAAATGGTAAGACATAACAATCTGAGACCATTGTCCAGAAGCCTCTTACTGATGGAACAACACTCCCCAATCTTGGAAAGGAGCATCAGTGATTCAATGAAAATCTGGATGGGGTGGAGGAAGTGGTACTCCCTTCATTGTTCTATCCTTGTTCAACTACCAATGCAGATAATCTGTAAGAGAAGGAGGAAGGGTAACTGGGGAGTCCCTGGGATCCCAAGCAAGGTCCCATGGGCTGTACAAAGACCTCAGAAGAGAACGTAAATGTACCCAACCAAAAGGAATAAGAGCTTCCATAGAAGTCCAAGTCCTCAAAAGCAACAGAACCTTTTGTGCTGAGACTGAGGAAGTAGTAAATGCATGGAGAATGGAAAACACTATTGTACAAAGAGGTGGAGAAGGATGGAATTGAATAAGGGGAGGGGGTACAAATACACACACAAGTGGATATGATAATGGGTAGGCAAAAGGAAACTTCACCAACTTTAGAATCCAACCAACACAAGCTGCTACTGTCAGCTGCATATGTGTTGAGAAGAGAACAAGAGCCAGTCGTCCAAGTAATGGTGTAAACACAACCCTAGAGCATGCAGAAGTCTGGAAAAAGCCATGACCATCCAATAAAATGCAAGCGATGCTGAAGCAAGCCCAAAAGATCAGGCATGAAACTGATATACAACCCTGTAGTGGACAAACCAAAGACAGCATCTGGACTGATGAGAAATATGAATATGGAGATAGGTATTTGAGACGTCTGCCTTGATGATCCGTAGTCCAGGAGAAAAAAAGTCCTTAAGTGTGATAAAAGTCTCCATGGAAAATTGGGGAAGAACCAGAAATTGGTTGAGGAGGGACAGAACAAAAGGTTGGCTCATAGCTCTCTGTGATAGAAGAGTCAGCACAAGCTTGGCTAGACTTACAGGTAGCTGGATTCCAAGTTAATGGGAAGAAAATTGGTACAGGTGACAAACGTGGAGTGGAAAGGAAAAGTATGAAAACTTGGATCACCCAAGAATTGGTAGCAAATAACTGCCACAGGGGAATTAGATTGGCCAAACGTGCCCCAACCGGACCGGAAAACACCTGAAAGTCACTGGAACTGCTGGGGACAATGACATTGAATTTGAGACATACGGCAAAATTTCGAATCCATAGTGGTAAGAACTGGTAACGGATGGGAGGTTGCAGGGCAAGAAACAGTTATGGGAGAGTTCTTGGTATCAGAATTTAAAAAAAAAAAAAGTAACAAAGGCTAAAGGGTTGAATGTGGACTATAACCAATTTATGTATTTATTTTAATATGAACGTTGTTTAGATTAAGTTTATA